TAAGAGAAGCACTAAGCTTATTCTTTGTTTTTTTTTTTTTTTTGCACAAACTAAAGCTGGTGTTTGAACTCTGAAATTTAGCAAATTCATTATTCGTAATATCCGCTTTTTAAGTTCTTATACTTGATTTCCTCTTGGCCTAGTTTCCTAAGGAAATAAAGCCCAATCAATGAAGTTATCTGTCATTTCCTGAAGTGAATTCTGAACACACTAGGCAGTTTCAACCAAACTTTGCAGAGGGGAAGGGGTCTAAGACATGTTGAACTCTTATACATTTCATTAAAACTGAAAACTGGAAAGAGATCTTATTAATATTTCCATCAAGAAGAGTTAATAAGCTTGCCCTTTATTAGACATCAAAAATTCTCATAAAAGTCAGACATCAGAAACTAGRCTCACAAAATTCCTTGTTTCTATTACATTTCACTTAGCGGTCTTATCTGTAACTTCATAAAGTTCTTTTTTGTTTTGTTTTGCTTTAGAATACAACTGTAAGATACCAAATGCTTAGATGTTTATCTAGCCATATATAGGATTTGAAAAATCTGTTGCAAGTAGGATGTTTTCCTGAGCAACTGCTATCAACTTCTGCCAAATCTAAAAAATACATTTCTAGTCCTTCTGGCTTTAATGAAAATCTTCCAATGCTCTGAAACAGCCAGATAGCTAGCTGAAGTCTCCTTCAGGCAAGTATAAAATCTGATTTCTGACCAGTGAATGCAGAATGAAATTTAAAATACACAGARAATACAGAAGGAAGAAATATTCGTGKKTTTTTTTGTTCTGTTTTGTTTGTTTGTACTTACTATAGAAAGATGTAAAGATATCTGATTATTTCTGATTAGGAACACTTAAAGGTGAAAAAATCAACTGCAATTATTTGATTAAGTCCAGTTTCTCCTCTTAACAGTCATAATAATGTTCTATTATCTGAATATTTCTCATGGATAGTGTGACTTCAAATTTACTTGTAATTAAACAGCACTAGCTCTCTGATTACTAGTACTCCTTAAAATTTTCCTGAGAACGTGGGTGAGATTGGGTAGCTGCCACTGCAGTGATTCAAGGTTAAATAACTTCTTTCTCAATGTCCCTGTTCATGCAAGATCTTGGTCACATAAAACATTACACAAACATTAGGTATTATGATTGTTATTTGAAAGTGTTTGTGTCTCAAGAGCATGGGTGAAGGCAGCACTGAGCATGCTATTCTTTGTCCAGATGACGTCCAATACATTTGTGATGCTGCACTAGTATTTATTTCATCCTAACAGTTAATAACAAGGCAGTCTGCAAGAACTTGTGGGAAAGCAAGTGCTACCCTCTAGTATTACAGACTGGCAACCACAGAGATCTGCTTGAATATGTGATATTGGGCAAGTCTCTTATCCTGCCTCATTTGCCCATCTGTATGAGGGTGAAAGTAATACCAGACTGCCTTCAGGGAGGATTGTTGCAATAAGTATTTTAAAGATTAAAGATCAGCAGCTGCATAGCAGRGATCGGTAAAACTACCTAGCAAAAGATTTTACAAAGGCATGCATGAATAAATCTATTGCTCTACACGTGGCAGCTTTTGTGATTGCTACATATATATATTTTTAACACCTCCAAGTAACTGATCCACCTGAAAACATTACCGGTGCTATCTGAAAGGGTACACAGGGTCCTCCTTTAAGCAAACAAGAAAAAAATAAATCCAAGTCTATGAGCATCCAAACCTATGTCCTTTTTAGTCTCATATAGAAGATTTCTCACCTTTTTGGTGGATGTTGTTGGGAATTATTCCAACAACAAATTATTCCAAATTATTCCAACTCCATCATCATTTTGACAACTACATTTAGAAGACCTCAGGARGTTTTGAGGATATGAAACAATAAATTTAACATGCACTCAGGAGACTATATTCGGTACTTTTGACTCACAAAGAGAACTCATAACCAAACTTTGCGTGCCTCTGAGGAGGACAACTCCACAAAGACCAGGTAACACTGTTTCATTTGGTTTTCTGGAGTAGGCTCCAGAAATTGTAGGCTGCAGGTGGGACAGAGAGCTGTGTGCCCCTCTAAGAAGTTTACCTTACCCAGCATTCCTTAATGAATCAGTAACGATGAAAGAAAATGTACAGTGGCTGTGACCTGCAGTAACTTACCCTGACATTATGCCCAGGTGCGCATGTTGAGATCTCAGCACAAAGGCTGCATCCACTCACACTCTTACCACTGTGTAAACAAAAGCAGATTTTAGCCCTTTACATGCTCTTTKTCTACCTTTTCAAATTACGAAAACAAAAACCATAGAAATCAATAAACCCATTGGACTGGTGGAGAGCTTTACAGAAGTCTCCAAGAAGAAAAAACGATCCTATAAGAAATTGAGGCTGAAATGAAGAAAACTACCCACAAAAGATGTAATAAAGCAGTGTATTCAGAAGGTCACTGTTAGTTCTCGGAGCTGTTATGCTCCTGATTTCCCTTGCTGCATCTGAAAGGTGCATGCTCAGACTTTGGAGGCTTCAGATAATACAGCCAATTTTCCTACCAAGCTTTAAAAATTTGTTATACATTGATCTGTATTTGGACCCAGTTCTAAAATTGTCTCACCTTACTCCTCAAATTGTTTCAATTAAGTGAAGCAATTATAAATTCACAGTAACCACAAATAACTTCAGTTTTCCATTTGCCCTAAGGTTTCTTGATATGTAGGTCCAGAAAGGATCAGAGGGAAAAAGAAAAGGTAAATGCTGGTAAAATAGCCCAAAGCAAACCTGAACAAAAAAAGCACAAAGATTTGTGCACTATTTCCAGAGCTTGGCACAATGTTTTCCAGGTGCTGCTCAACTGCACAAGATGAAACACTAGATTTGGGTCTTAGCAACTCYCCACCTAAGGAGAACTGGTGACCAGAAACTGCAGCGTTTTTCAGTGTTTGTTGCTTTATCTTCTTTTTTTTTCTTCACCTTCTTTCTTTTTTTAAGTTACTTCTTAAAGAGTTGTCTTCAGTGTAATAGTTCTTTAACGTTCGAATCTAGATACGACCAAAGTTATACAGACACATGSAACAAGCACTGCTGATCTGTCCTAGAAGTTGATACTTCAATCTCAAACCTAACAGTTAACCAGAGAACATTCCATGTTGACCTCCATGGCATGGACATAAAAAAGGTCCGCGAACATTGGAGCATTTGAGGAAATGTGTCCCTGCTCGAGCAGGGGGGCTGGGATAGACGATCTGTAGAGGTCCCTTCCAACCTTGACCATTCTGTGATTCTCTGATTCTGTGAAATGTGGAAGAGATAAAGAATGAACTCACAAGTGCAAATCATAATATTTTTAAATTAGATAGGTACTTGACTGGTGAGTACAAATAAATCGTTCACACATTTGGTGGAACAAACACTGTGTCTGCAACGTGTTAAAGGCTACTGTAGTATGTGTGTTGGGGGGAACAAGACACGTCTTTTATTATTATTCTTTGTCCAGCCAAATTATCCAAACACGAATTAACAAAGCTCAGGGTTCTCCTGAGGATTCACACTGGTCAGTCGGCGAATCCTCCGCGCGCTCTCCAAAGATGGAGGGCAGGCGGGGGGCCCTCACAGGCGGAGACACGCAGGGATGGCGGAGGCGGGCGCCTCAGGGGTCGCGCGCGGCCCTCCCGGGGCCCTGCGCTCCCTCCGCGGCCCCTGCGGCCCCTGCAGCCCCGGCCCCCCGGCGAGCGCGGCTCCGGCCGCCGCCGCCTCAACCTGCCGCCCTCCCGCCGGGCCCGCCGCTCCCGCCCGCCCTCCGCAAGGTGTCGCCGTGCGCAGGGGAAAGCGGCCCCTGTTCCGACGCGGCGGCTCCGCGGGGAGCGCCGCGCTGCGCGGCGGAGCGCGGGGAGGCAGCGCGGGCACAGGCGGCGGCGGCGACATGACAGGAGCGCCGCTCGCCGCGCGCCCCGCCGCTTCCGCGGGCGCCTTCTGGCCGCTCAGTGACTCCGGTGCCCCGTGTCACCGGGAGGGGGCACGGCGGGGGCGCCCCCTCCCCCGTGCGGAGAATAAAGAGCAAATGGGGCCTTTGGCGCCAAATGCCGGCGCCTCCCTGCGCGCACGGGCACGGGGGCTGGCGTCTCGCCGCGCCCGCTCCTCTTTATTTATTATTTTATCTTCGCTGTTCCCCGGGTGTGTCAGGTCGCTCCCCCTCCCCCCCTCTTTTTTTTAAGCGGGGGGTKGGGGGGTTAGTAATACCCAGGAGCTTCAAAGGCAACCAGTGACAGTCTTCTGTCCGCGAGCGCAGGGTGAACGCGGAGGCTGGAGCCCGCCTCGGGGGCTCGCAATAAAGTGCAACACACAAGATCATCTGTCCCGGGTTTTTTTCTTTTTTCCTTTTTTTTTTTTTTTTGCCCTTTTTTTCCCTTCCCCCCTCCCCCCAACCTGCCACTCCCCCTCGCAGCACCCACCCCCATCGCCGCCGAGGTAAGAAGAGGAGGAAGCGGCAGGGTCGGCGCCGCGCGGAGCCCCCGTTCCCGGCGCTCCCGCCTTTCCCGGTTCCCTGCCCCCCGCCGAGCAGCCGCAGCCGCGGGCGCTGCCTGCATGGGGAGCCCCGCGGGCTCTGCGCGCGGCCGCTCTGCCGGGGCCGCCCTCCTGTAGGTGCCTCTTTGCGTTGTTATTGCCATCATTTATTTTATACATATATGTGTGTGTGTGTGTGTGTGTGTGTGTTTTAACGGTTGAATGTATTTCGCGAGCGGAGAAATACGTACAAGGCTGGGCGCGCTCAGGGGGCGGGGCGGGGGGAGCGGCTCAGCTGGGCTCGTTTCTTTGCATTTCATCATAAGGCTTTTAATGGGTTTTTTTTTTTTCACCGCCTTTTGGGCGCCGTTTGAACGTCAGCTGTTTTAAACGCAGCGAAGCGATTTTTTTCTCCCCCTCCGCGTTACGTTGGCTGAGGTGAAGGGCGACCCTGAACGCCTAAAGTTTTTTTTTTCTTTTTTTTCTTTTTCTTTTTTTTTTTTTTTTAATGTCTGATGCAATTGAGGCTGTGGAGCAGGAATGGGGCTCTGGTTGACTGGCCGCGGATAGTGAGTGGGGGGTCCGCCGAAGGTAAGGGTGGCACGGACGAGCGGAGGGAGGGAGGGAGGGAGGCTCGCGTTTCCTAGCGGGCTGCACTGCGCGGAGCGGAGCGGCAGGACGTGCGAAGTTGTCCTTGCAACCTCGCCTGAAACTGTAAGAAAGCGCGGGGGGGAGAAAAAACTTCCTGTGCCTCCCTGGCAAATCAGCGGGCTTTGTTGGTGGTGCCGGCGTGCCTTTAATGCATTTTTTTTTTAAAACGTGAGATTATTACATAAGGTTGATAATTCCTGTTGCTGCCGAATTTCCCCTCCTCCTCTCCCCCCTCCCGCCCCCTCCCCACGCCTTGTGTTCTGCGCGGATTTCTCGCTGTCGCCTGCGAGTGACTGCAGCGGCSCTCGGCGGAGCGGCGCGGAGGGAGCCCCCGCGCGCGCGGCCCCGCGTCCCCGCCGCGCCGCTCCGCACATGACAAAAGGCGCGGCCGCCGCCGGCACCCGAGCGGGCTCTGCCCGGCGCCCTCCGCCCGCGCTGCGCCGCGCTGCTCGGAGCGGCGCCGCGAGCGCCGCGGMGCGGGGGCTGCTCCGCGCCCTGCTCCTCCGCGCCCTGCTCCTCCGCKCCGCACACAAGGTGCCACATGCAGCTCCGGTTCCTTCCCTTCCCGCAACTTGCCAAAAGCGTTTCCCGCCCCATTTACCTTGATTACAGGCTTTTATTTATTTTCATTTTTTTTTTTCGATTGTAGGGGTGTTGCGTTGCCTGTTTTTTCCCATTTTTATTATCTTTTTTAATATATATATTATTTTTTGGTTTCGTTTCAGGTCTTGGGAGCCCCTGCCTTCCCTCTGCTGGAAATACCCCTAAAAGCCGCCTCTAACACAGCCACCCGCGCCGAGAAGACCCGCGATGCCAGGAATGGTCAGTAAAAACCCAGACCTCGAGTTTGACTCTTTGCAGCCCTGTTTCTACCCGGACGAAGATGATTTTTACTTGTGCGGGCCGGACTCTGCCCCCCCAGGGGAAGACATCTGGAAGAAGTTCGAGCTGCTGCCCACGCCGCCGCTGTCGCCGAGCCGGGCCGGGCTGCAGGAGCCGCCGCCGGCGGGCGGCCCGGCGCCCTGGGCAGCGGCCGCGCTGGGCGGCTGCCGCCCCGCCGACCCCCTGGACTGGGCGTCCGAGCTGCTCCTGCTGCCCCCCGAGGCCGACCTGTGGGGCGGCGCGGACGGCGGCGACTTCTTCGAGACGGGGCCCCCCGGCGCGAGCAGCAACCTCAACTCCATCATCATCCAGGACTGCATGTGGAGCGGCTTCTCGGCGCGCGAGAAGCTGGAGCGCGCCGTGAGCGAGAAGCTGCAGGGCCGGGCGCCCG